TTCTAAACATAGGAATGCACAGGTGAAGTATCTACTGGAATGTGGGGATAGTGAAGAACACGAACCATGCCACCCCAGAGTATTCAAAGTATATTAAAAAGCCCTACTTTGTGGGGGAAATGTTTCTTCCACTTTTTTGTTCTACTTTTTAGCCAGGCCTCTTCTAACTACTGAAATTAACAGCGTATTGTTCAGGTACTGTTCTCTCTCAGAGCGATAAGACCTGTGTCTATAGGTGATGCCAAGGAATGGTATGCAGAGAGCCTCCTGCTTATACTTATTGCTATAACACCCAAGGGCAGCTCACTTTGTTACTTGCCTTGTTGGAGGGTCGGAAGCGGAAAAGCATAGACGGGGGTTGCAACTGCGAGGAGATGCAAACAGGACAGGTGACCCAAAACTAGCCAACAGGGTATTCCATCCCATCTGCTTCATGCTCAGTATAAAAGCTGAGGGATCAAAGGGTCAGCTCTCTTTCTTCAATGGCTGGTGTCCGAGGAGGACTCTGTCTTTTCGTCTACCTTTGATCCGGAATCCAGTTCCCATCTGTCACTGAGTCCAGTCTGGGACTTCCCCAGTGCCAGTCAGTGATGTGACTGTCATCTTGGGAGCTTGATACGGTTTTACATAAATTTCATTATTTTATTTTTTATTTTATATTCATATTTCATTGAAGTAGTTTAGTTCCTTCTAAACTCATATGTCTCTTTTCCCCTCCTCTGCCTCTGTCTTTGAAGAGGGGTAGGGAGGAGCATCTGTCACTCGCCTGGTAGCCAGTTCGGCCTAAACCATGACACCCGCTCCAAAGGGTCCATGTCTTTCCTGTGCTGAGGGCTCTAGAGCTGGACGCAGTAGTCCAGGTTGGGTCTCACCAGAGCAGAGTAGAGGGGCAGAATCATCTCCCTCAACCTGCTGGCCACGCTTCTTTTGATGCAGCCCAGAGTACAGTTGGCTTTCTGGGCTGTGAGCACACATTGCTGGTTCATGTCCAGCTTTTCATCCACCAGTACTTCCAAATCCTTCTCAGCAGGGCTTCTCAATCCTTTCATCCCTCAGCCTGTATTGATATTGAGGGTTCTCCTCCTGCACCCACATGCGGGACCTTGCACTTGGCCTTGTCAAACCTCATAAGGTTCACATGGGCCCACTTCTCGAGATTTTCTGGGTCCCTATGGATGGCATCCTGTCTCTCAGGTGTATCAACTGCACCACTCAGCTTGGTCTCATCGGCAAAGTTGCTGAGGGTGCACTCAATGCCACCGTCTTTGTCATTGATGAAGATAAACAGTTTGGTCACAATGCACACCTTGATCACTTGTCACTGATCTCCATCTGAACATTGAGTCTCTGGATGCAACCATCCAACCTATTCCTCATCCACTGAAGAGTCCACGCAACAAATCCATGTCTCCAGTTTAGCGAGAAGGATGTTGTGGGGGACCATGTCAGAGGCCTTGTAGAAATCCAGATAGACAATATCCTTAGCTCTTCCCTTATCCACTGATGTAGCGACTCTGTCATTGAAGGCCAGTAGGTTGTTCAGGCAGGACTTGCCCTTGGTGAAGCCATGCTGGCTGTCTCAAATCACTTCCCTGTGTTCTGTGTGTCTAAGCATAGCTTCTAGGAGGATCTGTTCCATGATCTTCCTAGGCAGAGACATGAGGTTGACAGGTCAGTAGTTCCCAGGGTACTCCTTTTTACCCTTTGTAAAAATAGGTGCAATGTTTCCCTGTTCCCAGTCACTAGGGACTTCACCTGGCTGCCATGACTTTTCAAATATCATGGAGAGTGGCTTGGCAACTACATCAGCCAATTCCCTCAGGCCTCTGGGATGCATCTTGTCAGGTCCCATAGAATTATGTATGTTCAGGTTCCTCGGGTGTTCATGAACCTGATCTCGTCTTACAGTGTGAAGGTACTTTGCTCCCCTAGTTCCCATCTTTCCATCCATATACTCGAGAGGTGTGGGAAGAGAGGTTGCCAGTGAAGACTGAGGCAAAAAAAATTGTTGAGTACCCCAGCCTTCTTGTCTGTTGTTACAAGTTGGCCAGTCTTGCTCATCAGGGAGGTATGCTTTCTTTGACCTTCCTTTTCTGGCTGACATACCTGTAGAAGCTCTTATTATTATTCCTTGTGCCCCTTGCCAAATTCAGCTCCAGCTGTGCCTTGGCCTTCCTGACACCACTCCTACACAACTGGGCAGCGTCCGTATGCTCTTCCCAGGATACCTGTCCCTGCTTCCACTGCCTGTGCATTTCCTTCTTGCCCTTTAGTTTGACCAGCAGGTCTGGACTCTGCTGTGCTTGTCACTTGTCTTCCTGTTCTGATTTCTTACACCTGGGGATCAAGAGCCCTTGTGCTCTATGGAAAGTGTTCTTAAAGATCTGCCAGCTCTGTCCTTCTCCCTTGTCCCTGAAGGCAGTTTCGCAGGAGTTCCTATTGACTAACTCCTTGAAGAGTTGGAAGTTTGCTTTCCTAAAATTCAGGATCCTGATTCTTCCACTGACCCATATCCCTCAGGACTGCAGACTCCACCAGTGCATGATCACTGCAGCTTCACTTCTGACCCTCATAGTCTTACGTATCCCAGCACAGTGTCTCCCCCAGAAATTGCAGGATGCGCTTTTACTAAGCTGCAAAGGTCTGTATAGGAGCTGATAATGTGGAGTATTGATTTACAAGAACGATGTCCCACTGCCAAGTGTTAATCAGCATTTCACTGATATACGGCAAGACAAGGGAAAAATTTCTTTAGCCCTAGATATTCTTCTCCAAACTGTAATGACAGTTATGGTCTATATCGTATTAGAAAATTGTTGCATGGAATATAGAAGTCAGGTGCCTGGAGAACTGTGCTGCGCAAGAGAGGTCAGTCCCCTGTGCGGATGAGGAAGATCCAGCTGAGTACATCACTACCTTTTGTTGGGAGAGATGCGCTGTGATTTTTAAGTCTTTGGAAGCTCTGGGAGGCAAAACCTTTCTCAAGCTCTCACTAGTCCAAGGGAGGCCTGTGTTGCCTTTCAGACAATACCTAGTGCCAAAGCTTATTGTGAAAATATTTCTTGGTCTAGTTACCATACACTGGTACATGCCTTATTGCTGTATTTGCTTCTGCATGCTTTCTAAAAGCTGTTTTTGTAATAATTTTGGTTATGGGACCTTGTTGTTTTCCATCTTCCACTGTGTATTCTGCTAATTTTTTTATTTTTTTTAAAGTTAATAAGTGGAAAATCAGGAGATAGCACCAAAGTGAAACAGTGCTGACGAACTCAGAATAATGTAACTAGAAATTGAGGTACAATAGTTAATGCTGCATCGCTTTTAAAACCATTTTTAAAAATAAAGACATTGCTGATTAAAACATTAGTGAAGCCCTTGATACTTTGTATTTTTTATAAGCAGATATTTTTATCTAAATTGTTAAATATGTACTAATAACATATTGTGTACTGAGGGCTGTATTCTGGGATGTAGTAGTATTTTATTTTCAGCTAACATTCCTAAACAGAAATCTATTAGTAGACTGTAAAAGTGAAGTGCTGCTATACCATATAGCAAAGAAAAATTCCCGTGAGTTTTTTCCTAAAGGAGATGGTGCAGATTCTACCTTTTTTCTAAATTTGATTATTTGAGATTTGTACATAGTATTGAAGTAGCGTCTAAGCGGGTTCATTATCTGTCTGCCAGAAAATGAGGATCTCTTTTTATTGCAGTTGCAAATATTTGGGGTTTTATATGTGAGTATCTTATTTCTTCTTCCAAGTCTGTTAGAGCGGATGATGAGCAATATAGTTACTTTGAAAGGTAATTATTACAACTGAACATTGAACTGAGGAAAATGGACTTCATACTCTACTTTTTTGTCTCATATTTGTCTGTTCATTTGGAATTGCAAACACATTAGTACTGACAGAGTTCAAGTTTATCACACTGATTATACCTCTTTGAACCCTTGAGCTCTTCCTGGTCTAAATAAATTCTGCACTTCTGTACTTCTGTCATCTCTTAGTTAGAGCTCCAATTTTCTTGTTTTTAAACTAAGGATAAAAGTGTTGTGCAAATATCACTATATTCCCAAAAGTTTTCTTGTTGTATGGCTTGGGTTTTTTTTTGGAAAACAGTGATACTCCAAACCAGTAAATTTCTCAAGCATTGTAAATAAGTCTCTGTACTAGAAGTATGTAAAGATACAGTGCTTTTTTTATAGTTGTGCAACCGGTCAGTTGGCTCGTTATTTTGTTGGGTGTTTATTCTTTCACTTCTCCTCTTGGATGTTTATCAGAACAAGACAAAAATGTGATTGACATTTCATCTCTAAATAAGATGTTTAGATGTACACGAACGCACAAAATTGTGTGGCGACTACTTGCAGATTGCCTCATGGACCTGGGTTTGGCTACAGTCTTTAACTATTAGGTTCATCTTCATGCAAAAATTGAGTTACAGTCAATGGTTATATCACTAAGTGGTAACTATTTTCTGTCCTTCACCCTGTTAATACCAGAATTGCTGCTGGTTTGGCTGATGTGGGACAAAAGATGTATGCATGGAAAAAAGTGCTTTACTTTTCTTGTGAATGTCTGTTCTGCTTTCTTTCTCATCTCCTCTAAGATCAAGAGTTCCACAATAATGCCTCTAAATTGATGTTTCTTAAACGTTGTTTTGTATGTGTTAAATTATAACATTTCATAGCCGTTCCTTTACTGAAAAGGAATGACATGATAGGATCTTCAGTAAAAATGCTTAAAAGATTCAGAAAACAATGAAATGGACTTCTGTGCAGGGAGCTATTCACATTTCTATGTAATGTCTTTGGATGCATTAATTTGTTTATGCAGCAACTTAGAATATGTTATTGAAAATACCACACATGAAAAAGGAGAATTGAGTTTCATTACTTGAATGTAATTATCACACGCTATGTGAAACAGCCTTTTCTTGTCAAGAGCAAAGTAAAAGCGTTAAGCGTTATTATAATATCTCTTTTGATGTTTTTGTAGGATGGGATAAAAGATGAATGCTCTGTGCTGAAGCTGCAGCTGAAGGAGAGAGATGAACTCATAGCCCAACTTCGTGAGGAGCTGGTAAGCAGGAGAAGCTTTTTTTTTTTTAAGTTCATTTACCTGATAATGTCACTCATCGAGACCAGAAACTAAAGAAATACAGTTTCACACGCTACAGGATACCCAGCCTAAGGCTATGTTAGTCATTCAGATAAACACTGATAACACTGGCTGTATATTTCTAGGGACTTGTCAGCCTCTGAAGTGGCTACCATCTAGGTGCACTGCTAATGGAAGTTTCTTTTAAAAGATTGTGTTGACAGTTGTCTCGCAGTATCAAAGAGGGAGAGAAGTAGCACAGCACTGTATGCATATGCCAGAAATCTTGAAGGGCTGTGCGCATGTCCTGATGAATCATGAACACTTGTCCCATGAGCTGCTTTTCACATCTACAAGATTGTTCAGTAGAAAATGAAATACTTTTTTCTCCGTGATAGATGTCCTTAAATAACATAATAAATATTCTTACGCTTGCTCAACCTTTCCTTAGCATATGAGCTACTAACACTTGAGTAATAACATTTTAAGGATAGACAGAATACTCTCAAGTGACTGAGGTAAAATACGTGATGTAGCAATTAAAAAGCCTAAACACATGAAAATGCATTTTATTGTGCTATTAAGACTGTACTAACATAATTCTAAAATTTCTTTTTTGATGGAATATGATCAAAGCATGTACGTCTTCAGTGTTCTTAATTAAAGGAGAGAGATTTTTCCACCTCCTCTCTCACAAACAGAGAACTTAAAGACTCTGCAGAGAAAGCATGTAGGGTCACCACATTCAGGAAGAAATTCAGCACATACATTGCTTCCATGGAAGTTGCAGGTGTGCAGGCACCTGTGATTTTGTAGAAGCACCCTTTGGGAGATGGGGTTGTTTCCCTAATTAGATCTTAATTATCTAATCTAGCTCAGGGGCTTTTTGTGTCTTTCTGTCTCATGCCTGGTGGTTAGCTCAGAACTTGGGCAGAATGAATTCAGCTTCATCCATTACTGAATCTTTTATATACTAACCAAAACCACCAGTATGCTTTTACACAAATAGCTAAGTTTCAGGTTGCATGGGAAAAATGTAACGGTGCTCAAGGATGAAAGATTCCTTTGCTATATTAACATCTGCAAAATAAATACAGGTCATCAATATTCTTTGTTTCATATTTGGCTACATTAAGAAATGATGTATTATGTAATTATTATCTAAAATTAAATGACAAAATGGGACACAGGGAACATCAAGCTTCTGCACAGTCCTGGAGCATTAATTTTATATTAGTCTAGTTCAGAACATATGCTATTTAACTGGTCGACAATTTTGTCAGCGTAAAATTATCCTGTATTGATACAGTGAGCTGTACCTCATTTGCTGTTAACTGTTGTCAAAGTTCATCTGTATGTATGTCAGTTGCAGAAAAAAGTCCCACAGGGAATTTAGTTCTTATACCTCACAACAGACAGAAAAATACATCTTCCTAGGGTCATGAAATAAGGATTTCCAGATGAGTGAAAGTAAGTATCATGGATCTAATCCATGATTAACTGACTTCAGGTTTGATACTCTTAAGGCTTGTGAAAGAGAGTATGGGTGGGAGTCTTGAGACCACATTTAGTCATTTGAAATTAGGTTTTTAAAGGACTCAATATATCTTAGTTTCTCCTATTGAACTAAATAAAGATAGATTGGGAGATGACCATGCCAGAAGCTGGACTTAAGGTTATGAAACCTACAAAAAAAAAAAGGGGGGGGGGGGGGGGGGCGTAGCAGGTGCCCACAGGATTGGAAAAAAGGATTCCTGTGCATGAGGTGTGTAAATACGGAGTCAATGTACTAGCTTTGGCCATCTTTGTATTTTTTTAATCTCTACTGTGTATCCTCCTGTAATACTATTTATCTGTAAAAAGTTGGGGATTTTGTTTGTTTAAGGGTGTGGTGTTGTAAAGAGCTGCCAGGATTTCTAGAACAGCTAGAATTAAAGTGACAGTCCAGTAAAAGAGCTCACTAAAAACACACCTGGAACTTGTGCCAGAACTGTTCATTTTGACAATCTTCTGGAAAGAAAGTGACTGCATCACTTTGTTAGCATCCATGGGATCACTAAACTAAAGTCTAGTTGTTGAAGGATCTCAGCAATCCAAGAGGGGAAGCACCCACTCAGCTTGGGCTTTTCTGAAGTTAGACAGCTATGGAGGAGCTCTTTTCAACCACTGTTTTGGTCTTACGCATCTAAAAAGCCTCAGTGTACTTACAGTGAGCCCCTGTTGTTTCCCTGATGCCTGTAACAGGCCTGTATGAGGCTGAGGATGCAACTTGAAGTCCCCTGAAGAGCAGCAGGGCTCCAGTCCCTCTGGCCACCACCTCCTACGCTGCATATCCAGTGTCCTCTTCATGGAGGTGCCCTGGGCCCTGTCACCACGGCACTACTAAATATTGAGGTCCATCAAAAGATACACCCAGGGTTCCCTTTCTCTGGCTTGCTCTCGGGCTTATTGCAGGGCTCCAGACCCTTGGGGGAAGCTCTTGCTGCAGCTTTGCCCACCATCCTGTGGGCTAAGGAAGCCACTCCAGGTGCCGGGTGGTCGTTACAATTGCCTTTTTGTGGTTCTCTGCCATCCCAATGGGAGCTTCATGTGCTTTGCTCCTTGTTGCTTGTGCTTTAAGGAGCTGCATGAAGTGGACTATTCAGGGAAAGTAAGCTGTCTTTTTAGAGCTGTTAAAAATGAAGTAAATTAGAACTTATTGTTAGAAAATGCTGATAAAACATTTTTATTCACATATAAAATTGGCCAAAAATTGATGCAAAACATGCTTTAATAGTCTGCAAATTCTAGTTATTTATGTGATTGTAAGACTGTAAATATTAGGAAAGTGAATGTTTACAAAAGCTAAGTAGAACAGTAATTTTGGCTAATGAAACTGTACACCTTTTCACTTAGCTACGATATATTGCAGACATAGCACTTGATGGATAACTATCATTTTTATTCTTGTATCTTAGGGCAGCCCATGTTCAGAACGTTGTCATTCTGAATATGGAAATGTAACAGTTGTAAATACAACCTGCCTGTCTTAAAATCTTGGCTCCATGATGTTAATTCAGAGATAGCACTTTAACATAAAAATCAATTTGAGTGGGAGTCAGTTTTGTACTTCTTGAGAGAAGTGTATGAAAATCTGTACTTCCCTTGCGGTTTGCCATTAAGTTGGATGCTTGCATGTAGATTTAAAAGCCTTTGTTAATTAGTTTTTCTGCAGAGCTCTGCAACTAACCTAAAGTGAACTTCAGGTAAATTTTGACTCTCTAGGACCTTTTGTTCCTTTCTTTTCTGTATCTATTTTTTAGAGTTTTCTAGTAGCCTTCCCCTCCCCTCTTTATTATTTTTTTTAAAAATTTTCAAATATTCTTTAAGTATTTTTAACTATTTCTACCACATTTGAGTGCGTTATGAAGGAGACCTCGAACAGACCTGAGGGTGGAAAATGTCAGTGGAATATGAGCTGACTTGCTGTAAGCTGATGAAGCTTCAGAGCACCTACAACTGTTCTCTCTCCTCATTGCTGTCTAGCTCTTGAAGAGAGAAAAAGGTAAATCTTTGAGGAATGAAAATAGATGTTTAGATGTTCAACTACAAGATCCAGGTACAAAAGTGAAAATGCAAGGATCCCTCACCTCTGAGCAAACAAAGAACAACTTGGAATAGTCCCTTGCCAATTTTTGGGGGTTTTCTCTTCTTAGTGATAATTTTGGATTGACTCCCTTGGTCACCAGAAGTGTGTCTGACATGTTTAGAGGAAAAAGTCTACGTAGACAGCAGTGGAATTAATTCCTCTATTCTCTCATTGTCTCCTGAAAAATGCCTGTTTCAGGTATTGGAGGAGAGTTTGGCTTCCAAGATGCCAGGCATCCAAAACTGCTCTAAAGTTCCTGAGAAATGGTGAACCTGAGCAGGAGCTCAAAATCTGGGTTCAAAGCATCGCTTTGTCTCAGTGCTGTACTCATTCATGGAAATATCCTCTTATCCAGAAAATCAAAGAAACAAAGTCAGTCCATTCTTCACGGTATGGCAAAAGGTGTCATTCACTTGCTCTTGTTCTCTTTTTCACCTAAAATTAAAAAAAAAAAAAGAAAAAAGAAAGTCTCAGTTGTCATTGGACACAGAAAGATGTTTGAAACCTCAGCTGTCTCCTGCCAAGCTCTACTCTGAAACTGCAGCTCTGTGTACCTTTTACAAATCAATCTTTTTCTGCTACAGTGTGAGCACTTAAGATGACTTTAAGCAGAAAATATTTTCATGGTATGGTGGCAAAAATAACTGAGTGGTGCTTACAGTAACATTTATTCTACTGCTGTCATTGGTCCAGCAACATTAACACTGAAAAATGAGCGTTAGCAACATTATCCTTTCAACCTTGATATCCCTGTGTAACTTGAGTCATGTGTGTTGTCCCATCGAAATGAGAAATGTGCTGAGGCAGTTTGGGTGGATTCTGAGTGGAACTGGAGGCAAAACTAGGTCAGGAAATGAATCTCCCTTATAGCCCAGCTGTTGGCGGTATTTTTCTGCTGTGGAGGTGGCTCTTTATCAAATGTTAGACTTTTTACATTTATGGAATAGCTGGGTACAGTGCTAACTAAGTGAGCTTTACCTCAAGCTGTAGAAATTAATGCTTTAGGAATAAGTAGTCTAGAATCAGCTCAAGAAAATATAACTGCTCAATTTTTTGTTTTATCTTTGCAAATTGTAAACAAGTTCTACGTCCTTGTCTGAAACCTATGTTAAATTATTGGGGGAGGGGATGCAGAGGGATGCGTTTGTGGTGTTTGGTGGGTTGTTTTGTGGTTGGTTTGGGGTTTTTTTGTATTTGTTCCCCTCCCCCCCCAAAATGTAGTGTCTTTCTGGAGGACAGAATGATGGCAACCTTTGCTCTTTCCTGTAGGTTGATTTCAATAATGGGCAATTAACCAATTCCTGTACTTTTGAAGTATGGTGAAGATAAGTACTTGTTATCCAGCTTTGAAGTG